GGTTAAGTAACTTGACGAAGATCACACAGCTAGTTGAACTGAATTCCTTCATGTGCTCCCATAACCTACTGAACATGACTGCCTTTGAAATTGTTACATTGCTTCATAAAAGTCTATTGATACATCTGTCTCCTTCACTAAATTCTAAGCACCTTGAGGGTGAGGACTTTATCTTAATTATCATTTATCCTTGTCTTCATTCATTAGTTGCTGATTAGATGCTTGGTGAATGAATGAGTGAATGAATGAATGAACCAACCACTGAACAAATGGACCACTAACCAATGAAGAAAGTCAGTTGACTATAAGGGCAGAAGTATTTTTCACTGAAGGCTACACCATGGATTCACCATAAACTCCATTTAAGAGAGCACTAAAATTTTATTCTCCTAAAAGGCATATTTGTGAATCTTGCCATAAAACGAATAGCTCTAACATTTTCTGAGCAAATGAAAATGATAATTCTCAGATAAGACCATAAACAAATTTTTGCATTTCAGGAAAAGAGCTAAATTTTACTTCAAAAGAATTCAAGATGTTAAAATTTAATGTGTTTGCTAAGGAAGATTTGCTGAAACTAATTACCTCTTAATGGAAACAAGCTACTGGGGCATTGGTCTCTCTGCGAGCAATGGTTTGGTGCTAGCTACTATACTACTGAGGACAGAGGAAAGGGCAGAGCTCGGGGGAGTTAACATGTTCCTTCTCACAGTAAAACTGGACCAACATGGCAAACAATCTACCTTTCTGCTCTAAGCCTGATAATAAACTAGATTAACCAGAGCAGTGGTGTTTTTTCAGAAAACCTCTGTCAGGTACAATGCAGATTTGATAATGCTCTGGTTCCTTATTTAAGGGGGAAAATACATTCTCATTTGTACTATGACTAAGCTTTTGGAGACTTCTTCATCCCCTAAGAACCTTATAAACACAATAAAATAATAAATGCTTCTCTTAACATAGGATGTTTTAATGTTCCAAAAGTTATTACTTGGTACTATAAACTCTTAATATATACAAGCTAAATTAAGATGAATATCCTTCAAAGGACGTGAGGCTGAAGAATCCAATAAATAAGTTTCTAACAAAATGGTTCATGATTTGTTTTATGGTATTAGAAACCAATTTGCACATAAAGGAATTCTACACTTGATATACACTTAAAATCAAGCATTCTGCCTAAAAACCACTGCTACCAAGTCACTGGGGAAAATGTCACAGGTTAATGAGCTACCAATTTAGGCACTTTCCAAAATTAGGGTGGGTAACACTCTTTCCAGGGCTAGGCCTAACTTTGTTTTGGTCACAGTAAGCAATTAAACATAGAACATTCACAAAAACTGACCACAAATAAAAGCAAATAAAAAAATTATAAATACAACAAAACTATGATCTGATCACAATGTAATAAAACTAGAAATTAAAAACCAAGAGACAATTTTCACCTATCAGGATGGCAAAGATGAAACACTTGCATACACTAATTTGATCAAGGTTTGGCACCAACAGGCACTCTCATACACTGCTGGTGGAGAATGAACCGGCTCACCCCACTGTAGATTTGGGCAATTCAGCAACACCTTTCAAAATGACCACTGCTTAGACTGGTGGTCCCCAAACTGGCTTGCTCATCGCATCACCTGGTAAGCTGGTGCCTGTGTCCAGCTGTAGAGATTGTGATTTAATCAGCCTGGGTGTGGCCTGGCGTTTAGGCTTTTTAAAGATCTCCAGAAGATAACCAAGGCACAGACAAGTCTGGGGATTGCAGACTGATGTGCCCTTTGATGAAGCAATTCCACTTCTCATTATTTACCTGACACATACATGTCCACACATGTGGTGAATGACCTGTCTCATTAGCTTTGTTTCCTAATAACAAAAGACTAGAAAAACATAAATACAAATATTCATAAAAGCCAATACTAGGCATCTTTGAAAAAGAGGTACAGAAGGTATGTGAATTATATCTCACTAAAGCTGTTATATATATTTTTAAAGAGGTGCAGATGGTGTATAAAGCATACTAACAGCTATGTGAAAAATCATACACACACACAGTGCTAAGAGTGGCTGTCTCTTTAGGTGAAATTTTGCTTTCTTCTGTATACCCTTCAAAATACTGAAATTTGTAATATGTATTAACTCTTGAAAAATACATTTTAAAAATATAAAATCAGTCGGGTTGTATCACTCTCCAGGCAAACAGAATTTTTAGAAGCTAGCGTTCAAAGGGGCATGAGGAAACATTTTGGAGTGATGGAAATACTCTTTATCTTGACAGCAGTGGTGGCTGCACAATTGTATATGTTTGTGAAAATGGAACTAATACTTAAAATGCGTGACTTTAACTCCATGTAAATTATACCTTGATAAACCTGACTAAAAACTTTTTTAAAGAGAAGCTTACATGATAACCAGATTTCTCAAACAACGCTGGCAGGAGTGTAAATTGGTACAACCAATTTGGGAAACCGTTTGGCAGGATCTATCAGCTCTGTGCTGGCACAAGCTCTGGGGGCCAGCATTGGTACTCGGGCACGGGTACCCAATGGAGACACACATGGATTCACCAAGGAACGTGCAAAGAAATATTCACGGCCACACTATTCGTGACAGCAAAACCTACGAAAAACAGGTACTATTAAGAGTAAAATGGATGAGCAGACTGTGGTGTATGTGTGCAACAGACATCCAGGCAGGAGCTGATTCAGTCCGCAGGGTGACACTGCCAAGATGGGGGACTGATAGCAAAGAGCATGAGCAAAGTAAGAAATACAAATGGCCCTTAACCATACAAGGAGATCGTCATCATTCATGATATGAGAAATGCAAAAATCACACTGAAATAACCTGTCTCATCACACTGACACAATTTCAAAGTTCAACAACAAATTCTGATGGGAAGGCGTTGGGAACCAGGCATCCACAAACATGTCCCTTGGAGACACAAACTGTAAAGTGCCCATGCAGGGCACTTAGGCCATATCTAAATAAAGAGTTCAAGTGCATTTATCCTTTGATACACAAATACCATTTGTAAGGATTTATCCAGTAAGATGTAGATGCATACATACAAAATAATGTATGTATAAGATTATTCACTGTTTACAATATCACGAGAAACAACCCAAGTATCCATTAGACACCAATGATATAAATGATAATATATTCATACAACGGAAAATTCTGTAACTGTGAAATACAATGTAGACACTATATTGATATAGAAACAAACACTGGGGACGTATCATTAGGTGAAGAACATCCAGAGACAGAAAAACAGTCACAATATGCTATTGTGAGTAACAGGGAGAAATGAGGAAATACATATCCACATTTGCTTGCATTTGGACACAAAATGAGTAAAAGTAGTCAGCCATGTGGGATCATGGAAAGATGATGCAAGAACAGAGTGGATAGAGGAAAGAACGAGACTTTTCGATATTTATCTTTTTACATCATTTTTTCCAAATTGAAATTTATTACCCATTCCAAAATTGTGCACTTAAAATGCATTTTTAAAACTCTAGTTACAGAAATAAAAACAAACTCCAAGGCTAATTACTTACTATTTTTCCTTCCTCCATTCCTCCTTTCAAGATAATGTGAATGGGCTTTGCACGTTGCACACAGGTTGCTCGGCCTTTGGGGTCTAGGACTTCCCTTTAAAGTGTGGGTTGGGGGGAGCTAATAGGCCTTTAATGCTCTGCTTTTAACCTCTGGAGCCTCGGTCAAAACTGACAAGGACAATGCTTATTTTAACATCCAGTTTCATGAGAAAAGGCACACAGACAGAACGGAACAGTGAATCTACAGCAAAGGAGGCATTAAATGGGGGCTGGGGACTAATTAATTTCAGTTAACAAAATTCTTTGGATATCTTTATACTCAAAATTTATCTTGCCCTTTCAAACTGTTCCATAGTATTACATATTGTGGCTATATCATAATTTAATTTCAAAATTCTTTTTGTCACTTAAAAAATTGCCCAGGTAAAAATCTTTGGGCAGCATGGCACAGAGAGTATGTGCAGAGTAATAGTTGCATGCTGCCCTCCAAAAACGAATGAGGCTGCCCACGGCAGAAGGAAACGGGCCTGAGAGCTGTCACTGCCCAGCATTGCAGGCGACCCAAAGGCCAGGAGCACCTTGGCACCCCTGTGACTCAGTCACAGCACACCCCTGCATCCTGGCACATGCACTGGGAAAGCTATTTGGGTCAGGGTTTCATCCAATATAGTTCTCTCTACAAACAGCCTTTCTTGATCCCTAGTGACACAGCGATGGTGGCTCATCACCGTGCAGTCCTTTCTGTGGAAGGACAGCAGACCAGATGAAATGCAGATGATGGGGACTGTGTGATTTAGTTCCCCGTTAAAGACCAACTGGCAATTCTAGAGGTGTGCTGTGCCTACAGGTGGATTGAAACCCAAAAGGTCCTCACAGGTCACCTACACAACTAAAACTAGTTTTCCCGTTTGAAAACAAAGAGGGTCTCCTCTTCTCTTCCCTTCGGTAGACCTGGGTGCCTTCTCTGCAAAACTGAAAGCAGCTGCCACTATTCTAGCAACTAGATCTAAAAAATGTGGCATCATCACACATAGTATCTTCAAGAAAGGAAAAAGCTCTCCACTCCTTAATGAAAACTAAACAGAACAGTAGAAAGTAATGTCTATAAACGCAATAGAGATATAATAAACTTTTCGGTAAAATATGAGGCAACAAATGACATTTTTTAAAATACATGTGTTCCCTTTTTCTCTTTAAAGAATTTATCATTTTAAAGCATCAAGAATCCCACAGAATGGAAATTCCAATAAGGGATTAAAAAAAAAATACAACGTAAAAAGAAAAGGTATGACAAACCATAAAGCATGAAAAACTACCACTGATAACTCAAATGTTAGTGCTTTAGAATCTCATTGTCTTTAACATTTTCAAAACACACGTAATTCATTTTATGGATGAAAAACAAGAAAAATAAGTTTGAAGCTATAGTACCTGGTGAAAGTTGGGTTGTGTTCAGTCATCGCGACCAACAGTTTCAGAGCATATGCTGGTACTGGGTCAGGCTCTGTGAGGATGTGCTCATATCTGAAATGAGAAAGTGATAAAAAAAGAATTCAGTGGTTTTCCTCACTTAAACTCTCCTCTGAACAACAGGAACGATATAGCGTAAGGTGCAAACATCTGCAAAAAAAAAAAAAAAGATACTGAAATAAACGCATGAGCTCAAGGATGTGCACTTGCCAAGGGTGGCGATGACACAGACCCACCGCACAGAGTATTGTTGTTGGGAAGACTCAGTGAGAGGAGCCACGTAAGGCGATTAGTACTGAGCTGCATACATAGTAGAAAACCAACAAACACCAGGAATTGGAGCCAGGGTCCCCAAGACCAACCTCACACTCAGAGATTTGCTTGAGGACTCGCAAGACTAATATACAGTCATCCTCATGGTTGAAGATTTAGTACAGTGGCCCCCCCTTATCTAAGGGGGACATGTTCCAAAACCCCTGGGGATGCCTGAAACCACGGAGGGTACTGAACCCTATATGTGCTATGTTTTTTCCTATCCGTATATACACTTCATGGCTTCTCTCTGGCATGTCCAAATTGCCAGCCTCCCTACTCTTGCGCGTTGGGGCCATTGCTAAGTAAAATAAGGGTGATAAGGGTGATCTGAACACAAGCCCTGTGACACTGTGACAGTCAATCTGATAACCCAGACAGCCACTAGTGACTAACAGGCTGTTAGTGTGGACAGAGTGGAGACCCTGGACAAAAGGTGACTCACATCCTGGAGAAACAATGCAAGATTTCATCATGCTGTTCAGAATGGCATGCAATTTCAACCTTAAGAACGGTTTATTTCTAGAATGTTCCATTTGATATTTTTGGACCCCACTGATCGTGGGTAACTGAAATCACCAAAGGTGAAACCACAAATAATGGGAACTATAAGACAGCAACACAGCAAGGACACACAGCTGGATCATCAGGGAGCAGGACACTGGCGGAGTCTGGAGGACGCTGTGTGCAGGCCTCCTGAGGCCCCCCTCCCACGAGGGGTGACACAGAGCACACTCTCCACCAGCCACAAAAATGCAGGACATGTGTGTGAGGTTTCCGCCCAAGGGAGCTCATTCGAGTCTCAAGCGACCAAGGTTTTAATGTGGGGCTGGTCACGTAGGCAACCTCTGTCTAATAAGTATCACAATCCCAGGCTTCCAGAAGGAAATCAGGTGTTCAGCATAAACCGTACTGTTGCACAAACAGTCCAGGCACCATCAATTACCCTCTGCAGTTAAATGTTGACTGAGAATACGCCAGGAGGCAAGTTCTAAGGTGCCAGCCAAGGGCCATCCTCGCAGGCAGGCCTTTCTAAGGACAGCAGTCTCAGGCCTGCTATGTGAACTCTTTCCTGCACAGCATTCTTATTAAAACTTAAAAATCTGAAACAAAAATTATTGTCAACAAAAATAAAGCTCAAAAACAAAAGTTTCCACAACAAAGTTCAGACCACGTTCACATGTTATTTGCTATGCAAACACTGGTTTACATGCTGTGTCTTACTTACTTAGGTTCTGTTATCCAGTGTACAACACCATGTAGATGCTTAAGTGTTGGATGGATGGATGGATGGATGGATGGATGGATGGATGGATGGATGGTTGGATAATTGGATGGTTGGATGGTAGGATGGACGGATGGACAAACTAACCAATCAACCCTATGGCTTAACTATCTGAACAACCAACAACTAAAGAGGGAGCAAAATACCTCCAGAAAATCCAAGATGTATATTTAAAAACCCATTACATGAAGCAGATGCTTTTCATCTAGAGAACAGGGCCCCAGGCTCATATTCAGGGCCTATTTACTCTCCTTTTGGAAATCATTATATAACAAGCTTAATTATGCAGTCTCTAAACCCACCGCCATTAAAAACGAGCCAAGTAAAGGGAGAATAGGGACCATTATAGAAAAGCAACCTGGGAATTACAAGTGGGACCTGAAAGCATAGGAAAAACAAAAGAAAGCAAACCCAAGGATTCCAAACAGAGAGCAGTCTGGGGATCACTTAACATGGAGACAGAAGCTGCTCAGGCATCCGTGGGACGTGGGGGCTCATTACCCACCATAATGTTCAAAATGGGAATAGTGAGTCAAGAAAATGTTAAACTAGGGAGACTCTTCTGTTTAGGGGGTGGGAAATGCCATATTTTAGAAAGTTTTCTTATAAAATATGTTTAAATTATAGCAATTAAAATATTTACCCATGTATGATAGAAGACAAAATCCCAAATCATTCATAACAAAATCATAAATAAAATATTAATAAATCAAAGAGAACAGTATGTTTAAATATTTAGCACAACCAGGCATAACTAATTTTAGGAATGAAAGAATCGCATTTAGGAAAACAATACATTTTACCATATGAACAAAGCAAAAATCAAGGAAACATCTTCAGAAGTGATACAATGTACTCATAACATTTAACATCAAATTCGAACTTTTTTAAAAAAGGAACAACTCTTAGCATACTAGAGAGACAGCATTACTCCTTTCTCTAATAGTCTTATAAAATAAAAAGCTCTTATCATCCTAAGATGGGGTTATCCAAGACCATCCTTTGGTTCAATGATTTGCTAGAAAGACCCACCAAACAGAGAAAAGATGTTATATTTCCAATGATGGTTAATTACAGTGAAAGGATACCGATTAAGGTCAGCAAAGATGAAAGGTTCATAGGGCTGAGTCCAGAAGGGACCAGGTGTAAGCTTCCAATTGTACTCTCCCATTGGAGTTGTGGGGACAGTGCTTACTGCTCCCAGCAACAACGTGTGACAACACGTGCAGATACCGCCAGCCAGGGAAGCTCACGGGAACCCTGGTATCCAGGGTTTTATTAGGGGTCAGTCCCAGGGGCGTGCAGTGCCTGTGTGGCTAATGTTACTCAGTCTCCAGTCCTCGGAGGTCAAGCTGACGTGGTGTAGTCCAGGGACCTGACCACAATCCCCATTGTCAGTGGAAATTATCTGGCATGACTCAAGACCCCACGCATACATTGACTCTCTTATCAGGCAGGACATTCTACAGGCTCAGAAGTTATCTTCCAGAAGGCAGACAAAGGCCAGTTTCTTTGTAATGTGCAGGGTTTGAACACCCCACACCTGCTGAGTTAAGCCTTCAGGATACCCATCCTTAGTAAGAAAACTGAGGCACTGTTGAATTTAAAGTGAGGCATTATTGAGAGATAAGAGAAGAATGTGCTTTTCTGCTGCTTACCAGCATTTAGAAATTGTCAGCCAGAGAAATTCAACTGAAGTGGGGTGAGAAGCTTCTGATGAGTCATTCACACACCCCAGATAACCAGCTCCAGGCCCCCACTCCCAGACTTAGCTGAATCACTGAGGAAAGGACCACAAGCCTAGGAATTTTAAAGAGCTTCTCACGGGATCTCCCTTGTATGGAAAGTACTTGTATGGAAAGTACAGAAGAGAACATGGACAACTAGTGAGAAATATACTAGAGAAAACAATCTAACGGGACTGAAAAATATGAAACATTTTGAAATAGACTTCACAAGAATATGTAGAATCTATTGTGTTGTCAGAAAAGTCATGACGTACTTTTTTCTATGTTTTTCGTTGCAAAAATGCGTCATGACTTTTCCGACAACCCAATATATTTAAAAAGAAAACACTGATGAAACGTTACTGGCTGAAAGACAAATGTCTTGAGGTTGTTTGAGGTTATCTAAACTTGCAACAGGACGCTTATACCAGCCTGTGCATGAGAATTTTCCCAAAGAATATTGGGGAGTTTTTCTCCACTTGGAAAAAGAAGGATAAAATTCATAATGGATATGTTTAGCATATAAATATTGAATATATTTTAGGTTAATCAAAGGTAGGTTTGCAATGGTCATCAAGAACTAGCCAAAGGAATGTTGTGGTTTGTTAAGCTTGTCTTCTTCTAAAGAGAGACAAAGCAGTCACACTGATAGTAATTGGATCTCGCAATCCTCTGAAAGCCACTTGGCAGAAAAAGCCTAGACCCCTGAAATGGCTTCAAAGGAGAGTGACCAATGAGGGGCTGGCCCATTTTGATAGACAAGGACTAGAGAGGAGTGCTCCAAGTGCCCTGAGGCTGGCCACAGAGTGGCCAACAAAAGAGCACGCTGTCCTAAGACCCCAGTCTTCTACTTCTATGATCCTTCCCAAATAAAGGGCCTTTGCTAGGTTCCACACAGCTGGAACCCAGGCAGGAAAAGCCCTTTATCCAAAATTCATATTTATCCCAAAGAAGAGAAAACTTCTAAAAATCAATTATTTGGGGACCCAAGAGATGGAGTCTTTCTTATCTTGTCAAAAGGAGTAAGTATGCACCCAAAGATGGAAAACGGTCTTTGCAGCAATATATGTATTAGTGAAACACTGGAAAATCCCAGATCATCAGGAATGAGGAACTGTTTACATGATTTTAGCAGACTTTTAAATGTAGGGGTACATAAGTAGATTACAATACAGTCAACAATAAAATAGTGTTACACAAGTAGAGCTGTAGATGTTCACAGTATGATGTCTGCGAGTAGGTGGGTTCCAAGGAAGACATTTCAGAAAGCACTAAGTAAATCTCACCAGGAATGAAGAAACCATAAGGGGAGCAGGCAGATGTTGACACAGAATGCCAGGCACGAGGCCGACACTGAGAGTCTTGAATGGCTGGGTAAGCACTGTCGACGGTACTTTCTAAAACCTACTCAGGTAAAGGTTTCTGAGCACGGGAACGACATGGGGAAGGCCGTGTGATAAAATGCACACCTCAGAGAGAGCGAGACGGATCCGAGGCTTAAAGAGCTTAGCGATGGAGACATGTGGGCCTCGACAGAGGAGGCTGCCAAACAGCAGAGGCTCGGAGGTGGCTCCACCTCTGAGGGAGGCTGAGGACTTCCCTGGGACAGTGAGCAGGTGACCTGCTCTTTGGGGCATTTTCTGTACAGTCTTCTCCAAAATATGAACTAGGTAATATCTTTAGTCAACTCCAAAATTCTCTAAAATGAGAGTATACATCAAATAGTTATA